TCCGGAAGGCCTTCTTGGTCCCGTTGTCAGGGATTCTACTGTAATACATAATTGAACAAACACAGATATTTAAAAGTTTGTTAATTTTAGAAAAAAAAAAGACAGTAAGAAACAAAAATATATATCGGGATTTAAGGCTAAAATACTCGGAGATTATGAAGTCATTTTTATTCGTTGCTGCTGGTTATGAGGCACCAGATATCCACTGTTATAGACAAGCGTATGGTTGCAAGAAAGAAATACGACAACAGCAGAATAGATTTACGTGATTTATTTAAATAGGAACGTGTGGTTTTGGGACAGCTACCTTGTGGTATAGTTCATAAGCCAGCTGCCGATCTGGGTTGATCTCTCATAGTAGTTCTCACTGGTTGGCGTGGCGCTCCTCCTGCTGCTGACTGACCGTGACAGGTCTCTTCCCTGGCCTCCTGTTGACTGCTGTTGTACTTCCCCGTGTGACCCCTTTTATGGCGTTTTTTATAGCTTAACAGTCTCGAAAAACAACGCAAGTATAATTAGGAGGGAAGCATTTTTATTGGTCGAAAAATAGAAACACTTTAAAATATTATTTTATTTTTCGACCGGAACTCGTGCGTCGGGAATATGCGTAAACGACGATAATCGTCATTTTGTGACGGGGCCTTGTCCCGTTCACATCTGGCTCTCTGTTAGTTTATTTGCCAGCAAATCAGCCGAGATATGTCTTATTTTATAACACCACCTTCGCTCATTCTCCGACTTGAAGCTGGACTTAATTGTCAGAGGCAATTTGAGACGCATAAAATTATGAATTGATTTTTTTTAACATACAATAAAATATTTAAATATCATATCCAAAGAGTTTATAAACATTCTGACTGAATTAAGTTTGACCGTAGAAATAAATAAAGCAGGAATTGTTTACTTGTGTCTGACCGTCAATGAGGGAAACGTAAATAACGTCTGGATACTAGCAAATTGTTTATATATCGTTATTCTTCAAAGGGAGATAACTATACGGTCTGTGATGAACATCCTTCTAATTATTCCTGAGTATCAATTCCGGCAAAACTTTCATTCCAAGGTCAGACCAAAGTTTCTATTCCTTATTCTTTTTTAGTTTTCTTTTCTCTTTTTTTTTTCCCATCTTCTTGAGGTGTTTTTTTATACACCGCTGTTTCCACCGTCAAAATCGTCTGTCAACGACAATGACGGGGACTCTTCAAACGTTTTAAACAAAATGAGCCAGTTTGATAAGACATGGAGTATTGTGATCAGAAGACGGGCAATAAATCAAATGGTGGAAGGCTATGGGGCGTAGATGATATTGATCGCTAATCGAAGCGAGGAAGCGTTGCTAGGCAACACTTAGCCGCGGGAATGTGACGGATTGTCTCTAATGAGAGCTCAACCGTAATGGCGGACGTGTAATTGCGTTGGCCCATTGTTTGTATTTTATTGCATTTTAAGGAGATGGCTGAGACAAAGCTTATTTCCTTGTTTTTTGCATTACTCAAAGACATATATATATATATATATATATATATATATTAAAGACATTTTTATGTTTAACGTTGTTATTTATAGATACAAGTATTTAAGCAAATGCTCTGTTTATGATAAACAGTATTAAATAACATTTACCGGCCTGAATGTCCGAGAAATTTTCATAGAAAATATTTGTTCTTTTTTCTATGAAAATTTCTCAGACGGTTGGTTTAAAACAGAGCATTTGCTTAAATATTTGTATCTATAAATAACAACGTTAAACATAAAAATGTTCATTTAATAATTGTTTGGACCTATCCATTTCTTATATATATATATATATATATATATATATATATACTATGAAATGGACAAAGTCCGACAATTGTCTTAAGACATTTTTTATGTTGATACGTTATTTTTATAGATACAAATATTTAAGTAAATGCTCTGTTTTATAATAAACAGTATTAAACAACATTTATCGGCCTCAATATCCAAGAAATATTCATAAAATTGATACACAAAAAAGATCTCAATGTATTCATTATAGCAGCATATAAATTAAATGAATTAAATAATTTCCCTTCGATGTTTTTATAACCACAACTTAGGGTGTTAGAATGAAAATCTGGTTCAAGTTTGTGTTAACTTTTTCTATTTAAGCCTGTCAATATCCACCTCCCCTAACTACCATAGAAGTTTTTGTTTGGTTAACTCAATATCATATTTTTAACGGCTGTGACTTTTTTTTCCTTTTTTTAATTCTTAAGATTCTAAATTTGTATCTACCCAAAAAATCGAAAAATGCTAGCGTATTAACGGTAGTTGAAATAGCTATTTTCATGAGGTAATTTTGAATTTCTCTTTTTATATAATATATATATATATATATATATATATATATATATATATATATATATATATATATATATATATATATGCATATATTTCATTGAATACGACAGACAAGGTGCTTTTATTTAGTTTTTTTATACAATTTCTCATGCGATCTAATATTTTTTTTTTTTTTCGTGTGATAAATTATATAAAGACTGACCAAATGTTCTTTATATCCGAGAGCTTTCGGCTATACATTTAGCCATTTTCAAGGATGTTATGGTGTTGGAATATAGAAAGAAACACGGACTCGGATATAAGGTTAAAGAGTATATTCTCGGAAAAAAAGTAGTACAACAGTAAACGTGGACAGGAGAGTACTTTTCTCTCCCTGGTGTCTTGTTTCCCTCATTCACTCCCTCGGAGATACTCTCTTGGTGACTCACATCTGGTGACTTCAATATTTAATATTCCACCCACGAGGATTATATGTGGCACAAGGTCGAGTTTAAAGTGGGTTTCTGCGAGCCCGTAGGCTCGGCCAAAAAGATACCCTTTGAACCCGCCTAGACGGGTTCAGGCCCTGTCTACCTCCCCGGACGAAACCTTGCCCTTCGGCAAAGCTTCGTCCGGGTTCCTCTCTGCCAAAGCAGACAATTCGACAGACGTCACCTGGTGACTTCTCTCTACTCATAGTTGGTTGAGGGCACCTCGAGGTAGTGTAATGGTTAGCAAGCTTGTCTCGCTAGAACAATTACGAATGAGTAGTGAGTTCAAATTTCACTGGGTGCCCCTTACTTTCGGCCTTGTGCCACATCCAAGCTACGCTTGGAAAATCACTGCTCATAGTTGGTAGCCACATTATATAAGTGTGGAAGAGTCCATTTGTAGGTAAGTTAGTGTTGTGGTAGGATCCACCTAATTTACATAGTGGAGTACCGACCATATAAATATGGTTGGTACCGGGAAGAGAGGGGGGAATCAAGAGATTCAACCAGAGACTCTGCCCGACTGCGACTCAGTCAACACATTCTCCAGGAACGGTCTTACCAGGAATATACAAAAGACTATATGTAAATATTGTGTACACTTTCTTGTTTCAATACATTTTGTTCTAAGTACATTTTGTGTTGCATTATTATTCCATGCATTAGTCAAGTTTCAACAGTTAGGTTCCTACAATAAAGGATTGAATATTTTAACTCTTTAATAAGAAATAGTTTGTTGTATGTATGTTTTATAAAATGTTTCTATTTTTCAAAACACGGTCAAGATATTGTGTCCATGTTCAAAGTTAATATTATTAAATGTTGTTTTTTGTTTTGTTTTTATTAATAAGACTTCCAGAAGATTTAAAAAAGGCTAAAAAATAATGTTGTATTATTGTTGCTGGTCCTCGATTCCTTTGATTGTGTACGGATTTCCAAATCCTGCTGCAGAGAATGCACCCCAAACGTTGATTTTGTTTTCGTGTTTCACCGGAGGTACACCAAACACATATTCGTCCTTCATATCTAAGAGTAAAGGGGTTCTCGTCACTCTACATAACATCTTCCCAATCAGATTAAGTCCAGTGTAAATGAGCTCTGCACCAGGCCAACCGTGCCAGTCGATTTTTTCAAATACGAAAAGTTTCTTTTTTTTATGTATTTGGAAACAATGCATTTTGCATATGTACATCTGTATTAATGACCTGTATTAATAAACGAATTCTATTACTCACAAAAGTCAACTTTCTATGGGTGCGTCTATTTTTTGCCACGTACTGTATATATATATATATATATATGTATATTTTCCACTAATATATATATATATATATATATATATATATATATATATATATATATATATATATATATATATATATATTAGTGGGAAATATACATACGTATGCAAAATATATAAATACCCATACATGTATATTTTCAGAAAAAAATTCCAAGAGGAAGAATCCAGGTAGAACTCAATGTCTAGGACAGAGTAAGATATAATAAAAAGGCTTAAACACTAATATTCCACGGTCATAATTTATTCCATTGGAATCGTAAATACGATCCAAATCATCAGACCTACAAATTCAAAATGAAAACAGAAAAAAACAACTCCGGAAATCAAAACAGAATTTAGAGAAAGTGTAAGTATGAGGAGGAGGGAGATGAAACCTTAACAGAGAGAATTTTAGGAGAGGTGGTGGGGAGGGTTTTCCCTATTATTCTAGCATTAAATTGTCGATGGTGTGTGTATGTCACCACGAAATATATCTTTATGCATTAGACATCCGTCGACATTCATTCTCTTCTCTTATCTAAAACCCTCCCCACCACCTCTTCTAAAATTCTCTCTGTTAAGGTTCAATCTCCCCCCTCCTCATACTGACACTTTCTCTAAATTCTGTTTTCACTTCCGGAGTGTTTTTTTCTGTTTTCATTTTGAATTTGTAGGTCTGATGAATTGGATCATATTTACGATTCCAATGGAATAAATTATGACCATGGAATATTAGTGTTTAAGCATTTTTATATATATATATATATATATATATATATATATATATATATATATAGTTAAAATTATATCATCTGCACCCCAACATGAAAAAACTTACCTGTTATCGTAGTGAGGATAACGTCATATAAAATTGTTGATGACTTATTTGACCAAACAGATGAAAGTTTCTTTACCTATGGGATTTAAGCACTGCAACAACAAGAGAAGTGTGAGGAAAGAAAGAAAGAAAGAAAAAAGAAAGAAAGAAAGAAAGAAAGGAAATGGAAAGAAAAGAAAACCGAGAAAGGAAAGAAAGAAAAAAGAAAAAGAAAAAAAAAGGGAGAAAAACAAAAGAAAGAAAGGAAAATGAAAGAATTGAGAAGAAAGAAAGAAAGAAAAAAAGAAAGACTGAAAGGAAATGAGAAAAGGCGGAAAAAGAAAAAAACTAACGGAGAAAAGAAGAAAGAAATAAGGAAAGGAAATGGAAAGAAAGGAAAACCGAGAAAAGAAAGAAAGAAAAAAGAAAAATAAGAAAAAGGGAGAAGAACAAGGAAAAAAAAAAAGAAAGAAGGGAAAATGAAAGAAAGAAAGAAAGGAAGGAAAGGGGAAGAGGCGGAAAAAGAAAAAAAAAACTAACGGAGAGAAGAAAGAACGAAAGAAAGAAAGAAAGAAAGAAAGAAAGGAAGAAAGAAAGAAAGTCTGAAAGGAAATGGGAAGAGGCGGAAAAAGAAAAAAACTAACGGAGAGAAGAAGAAAGAAAGAAAGAAAGAAAGAAAGAAAGAAAGAAAGAAAGAAAATGGAAAAGAAAGGAAAAACCGGAAAGGAAAAGGAAAGAAAAAAAAAAAAAAATAAAAAAAGGAGAAAAACAAGGAAAAAACAAAAGAAAGAAGGGAAAATGAAAGAAAGAAAGAAAGGAAAGGGGAAGAGGTGGAAAAAGAAAAAACTAACGGAGAGAAGAAAGAAAGAAACAAAGACTGAAAGGAAATGGGAAGAGGCGGAAAAAGAAAAAAACTAACGGAGAGAAGAAGAAAGAAAGAAAGAAAGAAAGAAAGAAAGAAAGAAAGAAAGAAAGACAGAAAGAAACAAATAAAATGGGAAGAAAGGAAAACCGGGAAAGGAAAGAAAGAAAAAAGAAAAATAAGAAAAAGGGAGAAAAACAAGGAAAAAACAAAAGAAAGAAGGGAAAATGAAAGAAAGAAAGAAAGAAAGGAAAGGGGAAGAGGCGGAAAAAGAAAAAAAAACTAACGGAGAGAAGAAAGAAAGAAAGAAAGAAAGAAAGAAAGAAAGAAAGAAAGAAAGAAAGAAAGACAGAAAGAAACAAATAAAATGGGAAGAAAGGAAAACCGGGAAAGGAAAGAAAGAAAAAAGAAAAATAAGAAAAATGGAGAATAACAAGGAAAAAACAAAAGAAAGAAGAGAAAGAATGGAGAAGAAAGAAAAAAAGAAAGAAAGAAAGAAAGAAAGAAAGAAAGAAAGGAACAGGGGAATGAAATAAATCTAATAAAAAGAAAAAGGATAGAAAGAAAGAAAGAAAGAAAGAAAGAAAGAAAGAAAGAAAAAAAGGAAATGGTAAGAAAGGAAAACCGAGAAAAGAAAGAAAGAAAAAAAAAAGAAAAAGAAAAAAGGGAGAAAAATAAAGAAAATCAAAAGGAACTAAATAAAGAAGAAAAGATACAATGAAATAAAGGAAATGAAAAGGGATGGGTTGAAGAATAGACTCAAGCCAGCAACAATCGAAATATAAGGAAAGAAGAGTCAGTTCTTCATACCATTGAAGAGATTATATGAGTTCTCCCTACCAACTTCTGTCTTTCTGTGGTGCAAATCACACAAAACCAAAATTTTGGCCATTCTAGGATTCTCCAATCCTAATTTTCAGTTTCCAACCATGTCTTCTTCTATGTCCCACGTTGTTTAATAACTCTCCACAACTTCAGGCTCTTTGTAGCAATTAATGAATTTTGTCTATTTGCTATCACTCAAAAACGTAGTTCCGAAGGTTAAGTAAAGCATTGTATTTTTTTCTCTTAATCTCTCACTAGTGTTCCATCTGCAATGAGTGTATCAGATTTTTCAAGCCCTATTTTATCATTATGTCCCCTAGAAATGTCAACCGCACTTCCTATTATAGAGTGCTCTTTTTGTTCCTATTGTTTCTAGAACTTCTCGCTTGATCACGTGCTCAGTCCATAGTATTATCAGCATCCTTTTTTGTGGGTAAAAGTCTCTTCTTCATCTGTGAGAAGATTGCCCAGCATTCACTGCCATATAGGAGGACTGATATTACGTAACAGTTCAGTACTCTTTTCTTTATTTTTGTTGCTTCAAGTCTCTTCTTCATCTGTGAGAAGATTGCCCAGCATTCACTGCCATATAGGAGGACTGATATTACGTAACAGTTCAGTACACTTTCCTTTGTTTCTGTTGCTTCAAGTCTCTTCTTCTTCTGTGAGATTGTCCAGCATTCACTGCCATATAGGAGGACTGATATTACGTAACAGTTCAGTACTGTATTCTTTGTTTCTGTTGCTTCAAGTCTCTTCTTCATCCCTGAAGAGATTGTCCAGCATTCACTGCCATATAGGTGGACTGATATTACGTAATAGTTCAGTAATCTTTTCTTTGTTTCTGTTGCTTCAAGTCTCTTCTTCATCTGTGAGGAGATTGTCCAGCATTCACTGCCATAAAGGAGGACTGATATTACATAACAGTTCAGTTCTCTTTTCTTTCTTTCTGTTGATTCAAGTCTCTTCTTCATCTGTGAGGAGATTGTCCAGCATTCACTGCCATAAAGGAGGACTGATATTACGTAATAGTTCAGTACTCTTTTCTTTGTTTCTGTTGCTTCAAGTCTCTTCTTCATTTGTAAGGAAATTGTCCAGCATTCACTGTCGTATAGGAGGACCGATATTACATAACAGTTCAGTATTTTTTGTTTGTTTCTGTTGCTTCAAAATGCTGTCTACGAAATCGCCTCACAGTTAAAGAAAAGTTTTGAGTTGCTCTTGGGATTTTTATAGTATACAACGTCGCCGAGTAGAAATATCTACAAGAACGACGATAAATGAATTGAATAAGAATAGCCAAGAAACTAAAATATAGACAGACTTGCAAGCGAGTTGGAAGAAAGAAATATGAACATATAGATAAATGGTATAAAACGCATCAAAGACTACTGATAGATTTAGGAATCTGGCAAATTCCATCTAGAAATCCACAAATCATTGAAGAAACAAATGTAATTCTGTATAAGGTTTCACTAAAAAGAAACATGGCGTTTCTATATTGATCACGTTGGCGTCCATTTTTTTTTTTTATTTTTTTTTTTTTTTTTGGCGAAAGTGTCAGATGTATTCGTGATTCCTGGAGAAAGAAATTGGAAGGCTTTTAAAGGTATTCACGATGAAGGAGCGTAAGAAAATTGTTAGCAGAAAGGGGGAAAAACACACCAGGAAAATATGGAATCCTTGAAGAAGCTGTTTTTTATTTGTATTAAGCAAACGGGGGTGGGCGGATAATTAAAAAAACAAAAATAAAACAACATAAACACATTCTTAGAAGAATATTTAAATAAAATAAATAAAGCAAAAACCGCAGTATGAGGTTATACAAATAATAAAATAATAGATATAAGATTGAGAATAAGACAGATGCATTAACAAAAATATATACTGTGACGTGCCAAAAGCTATGGGTTATGAGTTGTCTCTTCTAAAATTATTTTATCAATATATATATATATATATATACATATATATATATATATTTACAAACTATCAAATCCAAAATCACCTCATGTGGGGAATAGCCTATTTCGGCAAAGGAAGATATCGTTTGTGTGGCGTGGATTGAGTTCGCGAAATAGAATTTTAATTTCAATTTTTCAATTTTTATTATAATCTTATATGATAAAAATAATAATACTATATTGCTCTATTTTGTAGTGAGTACTTTTCCAAAAGGAAATACTACGAACAGTTGAATTTTACTCCTGCTCTTTCTCTCATTTGTATGTATATATATATATATATATATATATATATATATATATATTATTTTGGGAAAATACAACTAAAAATGTAAGGATCGCTACACAATTGCAGTCATGTTTCAACACATAACAATGCGTCTCCTCAGGCGATTGTAATTTACATGCCTTTTATCTTAAAATAAATAATATTTTTCTACTATGTATTGAGCCCTCTTTTTAAATCAAATATTACGAACGTTGTAAGTGTACTCTATTTGTTCTCATCGTAACTATATATATATATATATATATATATATATATATATATATATATATTATATTACATAGCAAAAAGACTGGCGCGAGGTTGCGCTGGTTGAAATAGGCTATACCCAATATAAGGTCATTTTGGATTTTTTGCTGTATAAAATATATTGAGCTCTGTTTGTGGATCAGTCTTAATATTTGATATCCACCTGGATTATATAATAACGGATCTATTACTTGTATTATATATATATATATATATATATATATATATATATATATATATATATATATATATATTTCCAATGCATCGATGATGATTCATTTATATTATTTTGGCAACCTTGGATCTTCGTGCGCGCAAAAATACGAAATGTCAAAAAGACTGTTTTTTCGTTGACATCTCCATTATTATAACTACCTCTCGATAATATTTTATTGTTTTAAAAAGCGATGACTAGAATTGTAATAAACTGAAACATATATCTGTTACCAATATCAAATTTGAATCTGCCCTGATATTATTGATTTTGTTTTTTTTTTTAATTTTTAATACTTTTGTCCAATTTGAATGTTCGTGTCTACCAAAAAGATACGATGTGTCAAAAGAACGATTTTTCCGTTGACACCGCTATTATTTTAACGACCTTCACTCCTCGGCAATGTTTATTCTTTTAAAAAGCGATGATTTCAATTTGAACCTATATGGTATATATCTAGGAAAAGCTTAACATGTCAAGATTGCTCTGTATTCTATACGTTGAGCTCTGTATGAATCTATATTTTAAATTAAATAGAATATATATACATATACATATATATATATATTCTAACTTAATTCAGGCTTTATAGAATAATTTGCAAAAATGATATCAAAGAATGTCAAGTGTGAGGCTTTCCTCCACAGCAGGTACCTCCATTTTCTTGCTGAAAAAAAATAAATAAAGAAGCATAGCATGATGAAAAAAATGACTCAAACTTAATAAAAACATAGTTTTGTCCTCAAGATGTTTATGTTATTATTAAGAGGAAAGGTCAAAGTGTTTTTTTCGTATTTTATTAAATTTTTAAATCATTCCTAGCACGTTCCAAATATTGTTTAAAAATCTTGTTTTTTTGGCTTTTTTGCCTCAGCGGTGTCGACGCAATGTTTACGATTAGTGTTTTTAGCGCGCCTTTTTTTTCAGGTAGAAAACACATTGATTTGGAAATTCGTTCAAAAATCAAACATTTGCCGGATTTTAATGAAACTTTCATAACTTATTCGCAAATGAATGACCGCATTTTTTAAATGTTTTCTTTTAGAAAGTCTTGGTAAAAAATGTTTTTATATATGCTACCCCCCCGACTCACATACGCAATTTCATTGATATTTCGAGAAATTAAATTTTAATCTCAAAAGATTTATGATTAGTTAAAACCAGGACTCCTTAGAGAATGCAAACTATCATTTTTTTAAAAAAAACTACAACTCTGTTCCAAATGGTAAAAAATTGCAATAAAACTATGACATTATTTAATTAGAAAAGCTTTTAATTGCTTTTATAAATGAGATTTATTAGGGATACTTTTGACTTAAGAACATTTTTTCCATGAATAATGACTTTTTACAATAATTGTTTTCCTTTTTTCAAAAGTTTAATTATAGTGATTTATAATATATAAATGGTTTTAAATTCTGCATTACTTTCATCTCGTTAGGTGATATTGTTATTAAGTGAAAACTATATTTACTAATAAAAAATTGAAAAATTTAATTCAAAGTATTTTGCTCCTAGATTTTTAAAATAATTTTCAATTTTTTTCTGTATATAAAATATTAAGTAACGTGGCTATGTTTGAATGTATGGTCGAACATACACGACATAATCAGAAAATAACAGCGATGACTATAGTAAAGTCAAAATAAACATTCCTAAAATTAGATTACGTAGAATATTTTCCAATATTTTTAAGATTACTGACCATTTAAAAATTATATAAAAAAAGGCGTTCACCAACCATTTTCTTAAATTATGTTTTAAAAGATAAAGTTGCCGAAGAACAACAATAAACATGTCAACGCCAAGCGACGGTGACAAGCGCGTAATTACCGTTACTGTTTGCTTTAAAAATCAATTACTCAGTTATTCTAAACTTAAAGAAAATAATATTTTTTCAAATCAAATTAATAATACTTTAAATCATCTAATATTTCCCAAATAATGTTTCTGAAAAGTATATTTTCTTTTTGGAAGATTTTTCAAGAGGAGAATTAACTTTTGCTTACAAGTGAGTCAAAAAACGGTCGATTTTAAATTATTTTCTGAAAGCGACCAAAACATTGAGATCCCAATCAATATAATTTTTATTTGAAATAGTAAATTTAATCATTTAATTTTCAATTAAAGCTAAAAAGAAAGATTTTTCATTTTAAAAAAAATCATTTTAAACGTTTGGTATAGAAAATTAGTGGAGGTACTTAGTGGAGGTACTCTTGAAGTTTTATTCTTGGACATGAGTCCTAAATAGTTCCAATAGATGCGAAAAGCACTCAACACCGGGCGGAATTAATCAACTCCTGTACTTGGCCACGGAGAACCCATCGATTAAGTTTGCCTTTCATGGTTAAGCTTTGCTCATAAAACTGCTACTACTCACTAAGTCACGTTCACTTCAAAGTGTTTCATGAAACTTTGCAAACGTTCCCTGATCTTTACACGTATGGACACAGAGATAATTTGATGAATGGATATACATGTATATAAATGACACATATCTGCGTAGAAAGTAAACACCACATGAACACAGTTTGAAACAAAAAGGAATAAATCGATTCATACAAAATGTTTACTATTACATCCGTGTCCCTTTATAGGTGAACTTTATGTTTTTCCTATGTTTTTTTTATGCGTTTCGTGGTTCCTCTGGGATGGAGGAAATACAGAATCTCCCAGCTCGTGTTCGTTGTTGCTAGGTGGTATTGTGTCAACTGTTGACTTGTTGTGGCATTAACAGGGTCTACTACGGAGAAATATTCCTGAAAAATATATTTTCCTGTGGATATGTGTTTTAAATACATCTGACTTTAAAAACCGTCGTAAATTAGTTGCTTTTTTGTAGTTCCTCCAGATCTTCCGTTTCCCACTGGTGTACCTCCATAATGATGGCTGGAGTTCTGGTGATTTTGAAGATCAGATTCTTTCAAACACATAAAAGACCATAGGAAAAATATAAATTTCACCTGTAAAAGGATACGGGAGTAATAGTAAAAGGAATATCCAAAATGACTATGCAAAAATAATTACACCTATTAAAAACTCAACAGTTAAACATCTACCCAATGAATTTGGTTAGAAAATACAGCTAGTCACGTTTTAAAACCGCTAACGTTTGTAAAAATGATTTATTTCAATCTCCAATTCCTATGCGGTTTCTGACCACTAAAAGCGTTTTAAGTTAAAATTGATAATCGATGTTTGATAATCGATAATTGATAATCGAAGAAAAAAGAAATCTTTGAAATTTGATGCACTTTTGTGTCATAAAAACAAAAACAAAAATAGTAAAAACAGCTAAATCAGTATGTGCCATTAATGGAGATGGTCCAGTAGCTAAGAATGCAGTTTTTAAATCGTTGCCAAGTTTCAAAGTTGAGGATTTTCATCGAGAAAAATCGAGAACGATCAGGCGAGCCTACGTTTGTAAATAATCAAATTGGGAAGGTTATGAAAAAATCCGGGTCACGGGACATCGCAGAAGTAATCCACTTATGTCTTATGAGTTTTATACGGCATTTGAAGGTACGAGGGTAAATGGACTGCTACGATGTTTGGGTGCCGCACAGTTTCAAAGAAAAAGAATTAATGGACCTACTACTATTCTCAGTTATAAAGTCATTCCTAACGGGTAGGTCCCTGAAGGTAGTTATTACTGGGCACTCCTACCTGGCCCTTGTGACGAAAGACATGACTCACCTCAGAATTCGAA